TTTCCACATTGCCCCGCGAATTCACAGCTTAAATACACGACTTGAATTACCTGATCGGTAGAATCAATTGTTCCTTGTACAAGTAGTCAGATAATTAATCTTAGACGATGTCCCACATTGGGGCAAAGAGTGAAAGGGGCGTCGTTGTCTCTAAGAATGCCGCGCGTCGAACTTGCCTCGCCCATCATCGACCATTGTCATCTAGTTTGTCTTGTATTCTCGTTGATCTTCCCCTTCTCTCATGCTTTTTCTCTATCCCCTTGCCCTCGCAACCGTGCCTTGTTTTCTTTCAATTCAATTTTTTTGTCACTGAGAGGCCACCTAGCATCCACGGACTCACATTTGAACCTGCAGTTCGGGGTTGCAGGGTTCACATTGAAGAGCGGCTCCTTTCCATGGAGTTAGCGTATTATTTGCATAGCGCTTGCGATCATGAACCTTCGCTGTCTGCTTGATCAGTAGACGTTAACAGTTTCTGTGGCACAGTGCTATTCGCATCGCTGGGCTTTGAATACGAAATGGATAGACATCGGACTTGTACAGCAGAATTTGCAGCTACAATCTTCAAAAGTTAACAGTGCGTTCACTCTCAGCGTTTTGTGCTTACCCCGTTTTAAATGATTAGAAAAGAAATTCTCTCTGAAAAAATATTCCTGGCGTCTCTCAAAATGCTAGATCGATACCCATACCTTGCTAGTCGCGGAAAGCGCTGACGTACGCTCAAAGAGTTGCCGTCTCAAAACGCTGACGCAAAGTATGAACCCAGTCCTAATTTGGTGGAGACACAGTACTAGCTCTGTAACATTGAATTATTTGTACTAGTTAATACTTAGGACGTCGCTACCCCAACCATGGTACGTGGACCAAACCCTCGCCTCATCGCCTAAAATTTTGGTCGAGACTGTCCTTTGAAGGCGGTACATGTAGTCAGCATACAATTTCATATTTATTTATTTCTCTACACCATGAGGTGTGCCACAACTTGCTACACTATAATAAACTCACTGAAACTTAATATTTCCACTAAACATTAAGACAGAGAGAAGGAGCACACGCTATTCATACTACTTCCTGAGAAGAGGAAAAAGGTTATAAGTGAATTATATTTACTTATAACCTTTTTCTATAATTATACCCGAAAAGTTCACGTAGGATCCTTTGTGCATCACCACACTCATGGCGTGCTTTCTCTTTGACGTAGGGCTGAGTAAAAGTAGGCGAATTAGTCCACAGCAAAGGTGTTCGGGTGCATTTAGTCTGGCTGAAATTAAGGTAGTGTATATTTTATCTTTCGTTCTTGGAGGGTCCCTTCAGACATACAATTTTTGACGATTTTGTTCTAATCTATTTCTCTTATTCTTTGTTCTGAACGGAGAAGTAATGAAAGCAAAAAATGTAATTAAGGTGTACATGGGGCAAGTATGTCAAGCCAATGTTGGACAGGCACCCGCTAGGCAAGCTGCGCTTGGTGCAGGTACGTTGCGATTTAGTCAGTCTGTTTCCATTCCGGATATTTTTCTCGTGGTCTCAGCTTATTAGAAAAAAGTCACAGAAAAATGCCTTATGAGTGATAATACTCAGGTCTGAAAGTT